CCTTGTCGTAGCCCTGGGCGCGTGCGGCGGAGGCAGTAGCCAAAGCGGTCGCCTCGCTCCGCTCCGCCTCGCTGAGCTCCCGCGCCAGGGGCTCGGGCCTTGCCTGGGGCGCTTCTGTTACCTGTCCACGGGCGTGCGGGTTCAGGTGTGCACATGTACATCCTGCCTTAGGCTACGGACACCGCTACCTGCACATGCACGGGGCACACGCACAATGGGTCTGTGAGGCGAGCGGTTTGAAATGCCGTAAAGGATAGGACGCTCCGCCTCGCTGAGCTCCCGCGCCAGGGGCTCGGGCCTTGCCTGGGGCGCTTCTGTTACCTGTCCACGGGCGTGCGGGTTCAGGTGTGCACATGTACATCCTGCCTTAGGCTACGGACACCGCTACCTGCACATGCACGGGGCACACGCACAATGGGTCTGTGAGGCGAGCGGTTTGAAATGCCGTAAAGGATAGGAGTGATTAGGAAAAGGGGCCTGGCTCGCACACATGGAGCTGCCACACAGTTACTCAGGGCTGCAGCAGGGTTTCACCTAGGCCAATGCTTCCCACTTTTTCCTCAGCGTGACCCCATTTCCTCAGCATGGCCCCTCAGTCCCAACCCACCCCCACGGCCCCATCCACTGATGTTGTGACTTCATCTGGGGTCCCAGCCCACAGCTTGGGAACCGCTGATCTAGGCTGCGAGGTAAAACAAGCCAGGCCCTGCTGTGTGCAAGGGGATACACTCAGGCAGTGGCTGTAGCAGGGAGAGCACATGGGACAGGCAGGCAGGGTGGGATTAGAGAAGGAAGGAACAGCTCCAGCAGGACAAGGGAAAGGACAAGTAATTACCCCAGTCAGGGTCTGATTGCACACCCATCATGGTTCATTGCAGTCTACCTGATCCCTTCTAAACTCTTCCTTCCACAGCTGTTAAGGACCCTCTCTTCTTTGCCATGGTCTTTGTGTTCCACCACTTCACCTTTGTTCTGCAGTTCTACTGCCTGTTAGTTGCTCCTGGTAATGATGATCCTATTTCACAGCCCTGCAGATTATTTTTAACTCATTCCAATTAGGTTATATTTATTTTTGCTTCAATCTTAAATTGAATAATGCAGCCCCAGGGCCCTTGACATAGTAGTAAAGCTTCTAGTTTATTTTTAACTAGAGAAAAATATGTGTTGTTTTATGCCTGATGATGCACCTCACCATCTGCACCCCCCTTGTCAAAATTTTAGATCCTGCCATGGATCTGCAGCTATGGAAGAGGACTGGAATAACTCCAGGTATCAGGGGGAACCTGAAGACGAGAAAAGAGAATTCTATGTATGTGGACAGAAAGGCAGAGGTAAGGAAGTGGGGGGAG